AGTTATAAAAAAAAAAAAATAATAATAATAATAATAATAATAATAATAATAATAATAATAAACAAATACGTATTAGGACAGGTAAAATGAAATCTATTAATACAACATACAAATGGATATCTGCAAAAAATATCCTTGAGATTTAACATAATGATAGAGATACTCCAAGAACTTCCAGTTATCTTTCGAAATTACAAATATCGAGTTGGAACTTTGGAAGTGTTACAAAGACCCCCCACAGATTGTATGTATTGCAGTTTGCAGAATAAATTGAAGGGACATTCATAATTTTGAAATAAAATTGAAATTTCTCTAGTAATTTGGTTAGATCTCCATATTAGTTTTCGCAAATAACCCACGCACGAGTCTAGAATACAGAAGGTTTTTTATTACAATTTTTCATGCTTGATATGCTTGATACGTGGTCATAGGAACTGTTGGACATTATCCAGATTAGGGTACCTGCAAAACAATAACTCAAGATGATTTTCCACAAGAAAAATAATAAAAATGACTAATTGGCATAAGTTGGTGCTTGCTAGATACTAACTGATTAAGGTGATGTATCTCAACACCCTCAGGTAGTGTCTGCAGAGGGACCCATGCTAAATATTGCTTGATTAAATAATACACAATTATAAACAAGGAGAGCAAAAGTGATAATTACAACAACCCATGAGCTTCATGTTACATTGAAAAACTGAAATTTTCAAAATTTACAAAAGCCCCCTTGAGGTTTGCTTATGTACTACACTGTAGCCCATTCCTTAACATAATCATCTCAAACACCCCCATTGTGTTTTGAAAATTACAACTTCAGGATGTGCACTCGACTCAAGGAGTTTCTTGTAAATTTTATAACAGTTAGGACTTTCTATAGATAACCCAACTCAAAAGAGTTCTTTCTCAAAAGCTTACTGGAAAAGCTTGTTGGTAAAGTGCCAAAAGCCTCACACACTCTACACTCTTCAAGCCAAGACCAGGTATGCTTAGCAAGTACGCCCTACAATGTAATGGAATTGTTCATGAGAAACAAGGACTCGAATGATTTTTAATGCATGATCTTAAAATCAGGACTCAAAAATAGTAAAGGTGTTTTGGAGTATTAATTAGACTATCCACATATATAAAAATAGTAAAGGTGTTTTGGAGTATTAATTAGACTATCCACATATAATTACATTGTTTCATCTGGTGTAGCACCTCTTAGCCACTCTAGGTCGATACTACCGTGATCTTTTACTAATCGATCAAGAAAATCCTGCAAAACAAATGTCATCAATGAACGAATTTCAGAAACAAGAGGACGAGTATTATTGAGGATAAATACAAAA